AGTGACTGCCTAAAACTTCCGTAGAGAAGGAAAAACTTTTCTTCTATCCTCATCAGTTCCCTGGCTACGTCTGAAAATTATATAGACAAAGAATAACAGGAGGAAAGCATACAATTATTTAACATAAGTTTTACATGACACAGAAGTCTTCACAAGGAAATGAAAACCCAAATAAATGGTTAAACCTGAGTTGTTTTATGCTAGGTTTGATGAAGAGTGGAAAGTCGTGGAAAGATGTGACAGGACAGAGTATAAAGCCAAGTATAGGAAATTGGGGGGAACTCAGTACAGCCTGCTCCTTCAGATTTCTCTGTGTGTCCATTTGTCTTCAAAGATAAAGATGCTCCTTTCTTCCAGGAATATGGAGGAAAGCTCTTACATGAGGGTTTTACTAACTCATCCACTTCAGAGAAAATGGAAGAAAACATTTGTAAATCATATATCTGATAAGGGGTTAATACCTAGAATACACAAAGAACTCCTATAACTCATCCACAACAAAATAAAAATAACCTGATTTAAAAATGGGCCAAGTACTTAAATAGACATTTCTCCAAAGATGATATACAAATGTCCAACAAGCATCTGAAAAGATGCTCAATACCTCTAATCATTAGGGAAATGCAAATCAAAACTACAATGAGCTATCAACTCACACCTGTTAGGACAGATATACCTAAAACAACAGAAAATAACAAGTATTGGCAAAATGTTGAGAAATTAAAACCTTTGTGCACTGTTGGTGGGAACGTAAAATGGTGCAGCTGCTATGGAAAACAGTATGGCTGTCCCTCATAAACCTAAAAATAGAACTACCATAGGATATAGCAATCTCACTTCTGGATATATATTCAAAAGACTTGAAAGCAGGATCTCAAAGAAATATTAGCATATTCATGTTCATAATAGAAGCATTATTCATAATAGCCAAGAGGTAAAAGCAACCTAAATGTCCGTCAAGGAATGAATGGATAAATAAAATGTGATGTATTCATAGAGTGGAATATTATTTAGCCTTTAAAAAGAAGGAAATCCTGCCACATGCTACAACATGGATGAACCTTGAGGACTAAGTGAAATGATCCAGTCACGATAAGAAAAATATACCTGATTCAACTTATATAAGTATGAAAGTAGTCAAATTCATAGAAACATAATAGTATGGTGATTGCCAGGGGCAGCGGGGAAGGGAAAATGAAGAGTTGTCATTTAACAGATATAGAGTTTGTTTTGCAAGATAAAAAAGTTCTGTAGATCCATTGCACAATACTGTGAATATATTTAACACTACTAACCTGTACATCTAAAAATGGTTATGATAATTAAAAAAAAAAAAAAGATAGTCTTGTCTAGGGAAGAAATTTACATCCTTCTCTTCCTTATCAAAAAGATTCCCTTTAGGAAAGAGGCAGGAAACTGATCCATCATTGAGGAGAAAGGAGGCATCTGTGGGAACAACCAAGCTAAAATTCTGTGTGTATTTCATGGATTTTGTCATACAAAGAAAGTACTACATATATTTGGTGTAGAAATAGTAACGATTAGTCTCTAAGGTTAATTACCATTGATAATATAATTTCTATAGGAAAATGCATTACAATTTTCAAACATCCGATTAATAAAATATAATCAAGAATATAATCATTAGGAATGATCTTGTATGTCAAAGGAATGACAGGAAGCTTAAATCAAATATACAACTGTGTAAATCATTCCTGTAACTTCTATAACTTTGGAATAAAAGGTATATTACAATAAAAATGACCAAAACACAGGAAACATACCTTATTCCAGAGAGACTGTCAAAGGCATGAAGATCTAACACATTAGAGAGATCAACTCTAAAAGAAAGCAAGCCAATGTAACAGTGTGAAATCCTGTGAAATATATTCCATTAATCAAGAAAAAAAAATCTCTAAGACTCTTTGGCCGAAAATGTAGGCATAAAGATTTATCAGTATATCATGGTATTTTGGGAAAACAAAAATGAAGAACAAAAATCTTGCAAATTTTTTTTATAGAATGTATACATAAAATTTTAAAAAGCTGGATAAATGGAATAAGATCAAGGATACTTGGATATTGCTTCAATAAGCTATAGTTTGTTTGTTTGTTTACTTTTGATTCTTTTCAATCCTGATAATTTATAAGCTTTTCAAATATACTTTCTATAGGAAAAAAATAATAATAAGTTAAAGAGCTGAAACTTTTCAAAGCAGCAGTTTATTACTCAGAAGATGAAATGAGGGAAGTGAAACAAATAGAAATAACATAGATACATTACCTTTGGAATTTTTGTATTTCTTTTACTCTACCTCCCTAGCTTCCACAACATAATGGCTAATTTAACACTGTGAGGAGTTAAACCACCAATATATTATAAATATTCACTCTAGGACCCTCATCTATATCCAAAGGATATGGTTTTATTTCATTTCCTTCAGAATGGTGTTGCATATAGACTAAAACTTCCTAGTTAGTACTCTATCTGAATAAACATTGTTTCTGTTAAAATTACTTAGTAGTAAGTAATTTAGCCTTATTAGGAAAGCGAGAATTCAAATCAGAAGAGATTATCATATTGCAATTAGCATTATTAGGTTTGGCTTAAATACATAAATTAATAAAGACTAGTGATTAAGTTCCAATTTTTATGTGAGCGTATAAAACAGTAGAGGATAGTGACTTCTCTATACTCAAAGCTATAATGAAGGACCGTTTAAAGAAAATGGCAACAATATAATTATATATTCAATTATTTCCTCACAAAGAAAACAAAACTTTGTCAGATTCAAGATTTTTTTAAATGCATAAACATGTAAGCTAAATCATCTCCTCTAACTTAGAACTGACCATCTGTGTTTGCTTTGCTCATTCTCGACAGTCTGCCATACATTCATACTTGTGCAAACAATACTGTGTTAAATTACAAATGTTTATTCTGGCACAAGGCAGACAAATTCCCATCTTATTAAAAGAAGAATACTCCAAAGTTCTATGTTAAGAGACTGTAATAACATTTCAAATTCTAGACATTCTAGATGAGCAGAATTAGGAAAATGATCAAGTAAATAAGTAATGTTCCATGAAGAAATTTTTGAATATCATTTTACATAAGAGACCAAAGCCTTACCATTAAATATATTTCCTTTTTCACTATCATGGTTGAGCATTTATATTGAGAGGTTACAAATGAATAAAGTTTCCCTCCACATTTATTAACTTTACCTTGGAAATAGCTTAAAGTTTAAGAAAGTTTACACATGCCAATTGTGTGACAATCAAAATTCAGGCCAATTGTGTGAATACCAAAAGTCAGTTTTGAAATACGAGCTTCTAAATAAACTAGTTTCACTGTGACAGTGTCCTTAAAAATACCTGTCACGGATTTAAACACAATTCTGCTTTATATCAGATTCTTTTATTTCCAAAACAGAATCAACAATAGATCTGTACAGGTTAAATGCTATACAGAACAATAAAATACCAAAGTCTCTCACTGTATTCTGACCAGATTCTCAATGGAAAGTAAAAAAGGTAAAAGTCTAAGCTTCCAGATGACAATTACCATGGACTTTCTCCAAATCTATTATCACCATAAAAAACATTTTACTCATCCAAGACATATGACTAGAAAACTAATTTCCATGGCATCAAATGTATTAAATTTCCTCATTTGAAGATAACAACATCAACCTTTTCCAAAATATCTATAAAGGAACAACGACAACAACAAGAAGCTATTACTATCACAGAAAAACTAAATGATAAAATGAAGCAAACATAAAGCGGGGAGGAAAAAACCTTCCAAAGCTCACCTTTTCTCCTGAGTTCTTAAACAGGAAATCTATCAGGAGAAACTAATCTTTGCCCAATGATGAACTTCCAATTTTCCCTAAATCTAAAAAGTGCTTTAAGCAGCCTAAAACCAGGGTCAAGAGAATGACAAGGAAGAAAGTTCTGCCTGTCTAAGGTTAAAAAGGGGAGATCAGGGGCTACTCCAGGGATACTGTCTATAGTCATCATTTCAAACTTCAGTGAATCTCATGAACAATCTCAGATCTACAAACTGTCAATTCCATCTAATAGCTAAGTCCTGAACTCTAGAACTAAATTTCCAAATGGCTTTCCCCAGTGGCACCTCAAGCCCAGTGTCTACAAAACTGAACTAATCACCTTTACCAAACCTACTGCTATCACCACTCGGCCCCAAAATTGCTCCTCTCTTCCTGTATTTCTTAACTGGGGAGAACTGCATCATATTCAATCCATCTCCTATGAGTCATACTGTCTATAAAATCCTTCACTAACTCCTTGCTGCCTACAGGAATAAGTTCAAATTATGCATCATGGCATTCAGGACCCTTTGTCATAAGTTCTCTATCTCTTCAGTCATACTTATTTTTCCCTCTGCAACATAATATCATATGTTCTAGCCATTCTAAAATATTCACAAGGTCCCTGGAACACAAAATCTTTCTTATACCTAGAAAGCCATGGCTACTCTTGTCCATCTGGAAAATTCCTATTCATTCTTCAAGACTAAGGTTGATGACCACCTTCTCTGTCAAAATTTTCTGACTCTTCATCAAGAAGAGCTGAGTAGTTGTTCCTCTACTTTCTTGTTCTTACAAGACCCTGTGCATTTAATATTCGTGTTATATTAATATTTGATATATTGTTTTTGCTTGTTTACTTTTATCTCCCTCAAATGAATGGCTCTTCTTAAAGGCAAAGTTTTTGCCTTATCCATTGCTCAAATCCTCAACATGCCATGAAATGCTTATCAACTAGTGAAATGTCAATAGTTTGTTGAACTGATTAACTCATTATTGACCAGTTGGATTTCAATTTCCCTCTGCTCAGTCCATTTAAATCTCTAAGATAAAAAAAAAAAAAGTCTGAAAAAGATAAAAATGGTACTTCTTCTAATCTTCTGCGTCTACTTCTGAAGCCCATATGATCCACTAGAACTTGCATTTGCCTCAGAATCAACTTAAGTCTTCTCAATAAGACAATGCTACACGCCATTCTCATTCCTACACTTAAATACTCAAGGAAAGCCTATATACTACATATACTTATAGCAGTTTTACTATTATCAGTTTTCCTACTGTGTTTGTCAACCACAAAATGCTTAAGGGATTAATATCAAACAACAACAACAAAAACCCCACAATAAAACAAAACTGCCATTAGAGTGATTTCCTCAATTTCGTTAAGAACCAAACCTCTAGTTTCTAAATCAGGAAGCTCAAGTTGCTATGCCTCAAGAAATTTTGGTCATTATTTTATATAAGATTCATAACCTGATAGGAAGAATTCTATCACTGACATCTGATCTTCACTAAAAAGGATCCTAATTTAACTTCAGTCCTCAAAGCAAGGAAGTATTACTTTAGAAAGTCCCTAGATTCTCAGATATACTGGCAAATACCAGACGTTGAAGAAACAGATGAAAAAAGGAGATTTTATTCACTTGTTCACTCATCCATTTGAAGTAACAAAATTTAATCACTGTACATTTACTGTTCTATAATAAAGCAAATGTCAGAAATATCATATAAACATTAAAATTGTTACATAATAACCTTCAAAATGAAACCTTTATGCAGGACATAAAGGTCCAAAACAACAACAACAAAAAAATAAGCAAATAAATCCAGGAGACTTTAAAAAAAATTGATTTAAGATGTTTGTAAATATGAATCAAATAAATGCTATTACAATGGAACCATTGTGGATATGTATTTTTAAAGACTGATTTAAGCATTACATGGTGGTCTGTAATTTTGTAAAGAAGAAAAAAGTCAAAAAGAAACGGTAAACTACAACAGGAAAAAGACAGAAACTGAGGAATGGCTCATGATATGAGTTACCTTATCAAATTTTCTATATAGAAATTTGAAATGCAGGAAGCACATTTGGTGTATGCTTGTAGAGGGACTTACACTAAGGGCATTCTTCTGCTACTTCTGCCAGCGGATGAGTGGCTTCTGAGAAAGCATACCAAATTAATTCCCCAGCTGTTGACATGCACATAAGCAGCTGCGGCTGTTACTGCCTAACAATTATGGTAGTCTATCAGCACCTCTAATCTCTGCCATAGCAGACAAGCAATCGACTAAGGCCTCCGCTGTACTTCCAAGGAAAGAATCTCTGAATTAAAGACTGGGTGGCACTATACTGTACTTGAGTCGTGAGTCTCAGAGCTGTTGACTGCATGTCTCTGGGCCTATCAGTTGCTGAGCCATTCCCACCAAAAATTGCATTTAACAAAATATTCCTGTACAAAAATGTCCTGAAATCATGATAGCATTCAATGGAAAACAGTTTAATCTACAGAAATCATTTTACAGAGGTTTTAAGAACATATCTATTTTATAAAGTAATATACATCTGTATAAACAATGAAAGGAGAAAAGAACCTACAAGAAATGGAAATTAAATTTATTAAAAAAAGACTATATTAGGAACTTAAAGGTAAAGATTCTGTGTATTTTTACATGACAATATTTTTGGAACTATGAAAGACTAAAAAAGGTTTTAAAAATATCAAAAAGTCATTTAAATACCTCAAATTAAGATAAGATTCTAAATAAAATACTTTTTCAGATTTCTGTAGTAGCTACTTTCTTGAGTGGCTGAAATTCCTACATTTTCTTCACTAAGCAAAAGCAGTTACACAGTTTTATCATGGCTCTGTAATCTAAGTTACACAAAGGAGAAGCGAATATATTAAATAAATATGCCAAACTAATTTATAAAGAGCATTCAAAACATTTTTGGAGCCCCATTTTTCTAAAATGCACATGTATGTTTCTTATATTAGAATCAAGCATATTTATCAATTTCTTAATATTATTAACTAAAAGTATTAATAACAGTAATAGATTTTTTAAAGTACCTTGATCTTTGTGTTTCTAAAATTTTTCCCAGTCCATTTATGGATCTGAAATAAATTTAAAAATGAAGAAGAAAAGGTAAAAAAGTAAATGTTAACATTTTTAAAAAGCACATAAGGCACATTATTTCTAAAATAGGAAGTAAGCATACAAATATATGTAGAGCTAAAAAAAAATAAAAAATAGAAAAAAAACCCTACATATTTTATAGTTTAATTGTTCTTTTCCTTCTAATCATAAATCAGGTATATTCCACTTAGGCATTAAAACATGATATGCAAAAAAATCTGCTTCACAACTGATAGACTGCTTTGTGACAGGGGCTACTTTGTGATTTATAAAAAGACCCTTCACTTTAGAAAACATGATTCATACACAGCCAGTAATTCTAATGTTCTTAATTAGAATTAAGCAGAAAATCAAAAATTTTATTGATATCCAATACCTCCCAAGCACACACTGTGGAAATGGCAATACACATGCTAGAAATAAAAACCTAGTTATGAGTGGCTTTGACCCCAGCCTGTCTTCAACATTCACAGTGAACACTAAGTCATACATCCAGATTCTTTTATAGAATCATAACCTCTTCAGTTCCCTAAGTAGGATCTCTATCCACTCTGCTAGTCCTCACTTTTTACTGCACCAAAAAGACTTGTTAAACCCTTTTTAACATACTGTACTGGATCTATTCATATCATCAATTCCACTACCTTTAGGTTTACTTGCTGATGATATTTGCTAGCTGTTCAAGTTTGTTCTCATGGGTAAGGCTTCCTGCGTACAATGATTCTGAGGCAAGGCTCTACTGTCACAAAATTCTTAACCTTCTGAGTATACTCTATAACCTAATGTCAATTTCCTCTTAAATACGTTTACCTTCTTCTAAATCTAATTTACCTCCCTAAATCTAATTTTGAATCAGCTACAAGTCTGATGTATAATGGAAGGTAAAAGGCCAAAAGGGTCTGTAATTCATCAATGTGCTTTGCCCAAATTCTTTTGTTATTGCTGTACAGTACAGACTGGCAACAAGCTGGCTAATAGTCAATCTTGGTGGTGTTGGAGAGCCAGCCCAGATAGTCAATATGGAAACAAAATCTCTGTAGTAATAATCATGGACTCGTTTATGCCATAAATGTTTGCTACATAGATTGTATTCTTTTTTCTAGTAATCACAATGATGCATAAGATTTTGCAAAGAGAAACCAAATTTAGGAGACCAGTAAAAGAAGAAATTTTCATCTTTTTAGACTTTTCAAAAATATCAACCATCTTTCTAGCTTTTTCATTTTATTTACTGTAATTTGATGTAAACTAAGAAAAAATATACGATCTAATGATAATAGCTAATGGCTCACTTACTATGTGTTGGGCACTGTAAAAGTTTACCAACATTATCTCATGTAATACTCAAATCAAACTTATGAAGTAGGTATCATTCCTGTTTTACAGATGAGACTTAAAATGAAAACAGTAGGAAATGGACCAAGGATAGAATCCAAGCAGTTTCCAAAGTCCATGACCTTAAACACCATGTAATACTACCAGCCCTCTTCATGGAAACATCATTAGTTTTTTACAGTAAAGTCTGAGAAAATATTACTATTAAAATAAGATCAAATATGCAGAAAAAATACGAAATTTTCTTCTGCAATCATTATCATTGCAGCCAATCTCATAATGAGCCATATATTTATTGATTCAATTTACAACATATACTATATGAATTGGCACTGACAGATTCAAAATCTGATGTTAACAAATTGTACCTGTTAAAGATGACTAAAAATAAAAGCTATTCAATGTTTCTTTGTAGATGGCACTTATTGGTTTAGGCCTTACGAAATAATTCAAAATCCCTGAACTCTAACCTCATTTGAAAGTACAAATGACCACTGGATCATTTAACATATGAGTATCATTCATATTGTCCTGTGTTGATTACGTCTTAGCCATGAACACTAAAAACATTAAAGCAAGCTGAAAGACATGCATGGTTAGCTGGCAATTAAAGAAGACACAGTCAATGAGGGTTCAGGTAAAAGTGAGACCACATGAATCAGGGAAGACTTGAGAGAGAGAGAAAAAAAAAAGGAAGTGGGAGATGGGCTCTAGAGAATGAATAAAATTGCTTAAAAAAAAAAACAACCAGAAGACAAAGGAATTTAAAGACTGGCACAGTGAGAGTGAGAACACATTACAGGTAATAAAAGGATTTGGTAAGACATATCTAAGGGAAAGTAAGTAATCATCTTGGGTTAAGTTAGAGAACTTAAAGTAAGGAAAAAATCAAAAAGAGAGGAAAAGGAGGGTAGATTCAGAAGACCCTGAATATTAGTCTATGAACTTTAAACTTTATTCTTTAAGCAATAGGGAATAACTTCATATACTACTATTTACATGACAATTAGACAACAATAATATATGTGATTCTCTAATGGTCAACCCTGAACCTTAAGTTTCTACAGGGCAACAGTCATGGTAAAAATATTTTGTATCGTACACTTTGAATTTGTAGGTACTTAATACACTTGTAATTTTGTACCTAATGGTTGTTCTTAATTTGTTTAAATCCTCTTCTGAAACCAAGTCTGTTTTATTGATGATGATGATATCTGCCAAAGCGACTTGCCTAAATTAGCAAAGAACAGATGTCAAAAGAGAAATGTTAAGAAATCAAAAATAAATAGAAACACCTCCTTCAGATCAATTATCAGTTAAGAATTATATAGTACTCTACATAGTAATTCAATTTACTTCTAACGTACTTACTACACTGCAAATAGTAAGGTTAATTATATTCGTTACTATATAAATTCAGATTTCATGTTAGCTATTAAAAAATATTTAGAGTGCTTTCACTTGCTATTCTAGAACTACAAAGACAAGCTTCAAAAAGTTTATAACCAACGATGATTTACAATTCATGTGATTATCAACTCATGATATCTTTGTAAAGAAATGCATAAAATTCAGATATCTAATATAGTAAAAACAAGGATAGTCTATTTACTAAAATATTCCATTTAATAGTTACCAAAGAAACACAGAGAACAAGTTTACTTAACGCTAACACTACAATAAAGTTTCTTTTAAAAAGATTACACTTCAGAAGATTTATCAGAATCTTTAACATATCTTCTTTACCACTAAGCATATTTTCTCTGTCAAACAGATATAAATTCATGTTAAAAAATCCCGTTGACAGATGTTGAATAACAAAATATCTTAATATAAATAGGAGTTCTATTTTCTATTAACAGAAGTAGTAAAGCTGAGGGTTCTTTTAATTTTCTTCAATTCTTCAGGAAATTTTAATCACTAGACTATTTGTTCCTAATCTTAGTTTTATGCTATCTGAAGGTATAGCAGATTATTTCAAAATAACACAACCAAATTATCAAAAATAAAGTTTAATTCATTAAGAAGCCGTTTTCAATAGTATGCATATCACAATGCCATTTTTAAGTAAATTTTACATGAATAAAGAATGAATGTGCATATATCAAGCAGTTGCAATCTTTAAATTGGAGGCCTTCTACATTTAATATTATTTTGGCTTTTATAAAATGTTGCTATTTAAATGGCTTATTTACATTTTCTATAAAAAGTTACAAAAACATTTAGGTTCAGTCTAATTTGAATCATAACTATATACCAAATGTAGTGTTTAGGCAGGATTACAAAATAACATAGTACCATACTCCAAATTAATAGGGAATCAATCACTTGCTTGTAGTCTTTATTATTTATGTCTGAATCAGCCTTGGCAAATTTCAGAGGATCTCCCTCTTAAACTTAGCAGCATATTTAGTGACTTTTATCTATATACCATTAGCAAGGATATGCTTAGAGTAGGCAAAAATTTAAATATTTATAAGTCTAAAGACAAACCAATCAGGAGCATAAAATATTTAAACAAAAAAATGTTCTAAATGTCAAAATTAAAACTATATCCATATTTGTTCCTCTGTTGTTCTGAATAACAAGGAATATTTGAATCAAATGAGTTTCTGTTAAAGAAGGCAGTAAGTGAGCCAACTCTTTTTATAATCATCTTCAATTCCAAAGAAATCGTATGAGAACAAGAAAATATTTTTAAATGTTAAAATTTCCCAAGCTCCTGACAAAGAACTCCTGTGCCCAGCACTCACTTTATGTTATAAAAATAGTTTTAAATAAAATTTTAGTTATCAGACCACTATAAATAGTTAGCACTAATTCAACTATAAGAAAAATGATAATAAATTTTCCTTGACTATATTTCTCAGTTTGTTTTTGCCTTTCATATTAATTATTTTGTCTTTGAAATTAGCCAGCAATCAATAATACTTTAAATATGAATACCTAGAAGCTTCATTGATAAGGCCATCGGGTTTTTCTTCTGCTAAATGCTAAAAAAAAGTTTGAAAATAGTTACTGTGCTGTAACATAAAATCTAATGTTAACACAAAGGATTTTACTTTAGCGACTCCTTTCTCGTCTCTAACAAAGACTTCAATATGTTCTATTACTGAATACACAAATTCAGAATAAATTTTTCTAGCTGAAGTGTTTTCTTTTCCATTTGTAATTTTTTCCTACAGTGAACTTGTAGCTTTCTATTTTTTTTTTTTTTTGGTGGTGGGGGGGGGCAGCAGCTTAAATTTTGTACCCAACCTCTTCTTTTTCTTAAAAGAAAAATCCTCCATAAGTAAACAAAGTCATAAAAACATACAACGTTATGTTTCAGATTTTAGTGTTTTCTTTTTATAAAACTGTTCTTGTTCTAAGTATTCATTATTACTTATTTTAAAAAGAGATTACTGAAATTACACTTTCTTAAAATCTAATTTACTTCCCTCCATTTCTACCCCACGCCCCACTCCCCACCCAGAATGGTACATTATATGAACTCAGTACTAGACCCTTCACATTCAAATATGCTAAGAGAAGGACACAGCTCTAATTATAAACTAAAAGCAGTTTATCATTTAGAAACCCACACTTGAGTGATCTGGCCTCTCCATGCAACTGTTTATTTTGCTGACCTCTCCAGCTAGCTCCAAAAATATATTGTGACATTGAGGTAGTTCTCATCTCTCTGGGAGAAGTTATTATTCTTTCATAATTCTATTTATATGCCTAAAGTCATCAGTGCCATAAGATTCCCCTCTGAAAAATGTTTCACCGTCATTACCTTAACCCTCAATAGATGTCTCCTGTCACAATACAAAGTTGCCTATTGAGGCTAGAGGAAATCAGATTAAATTAATACTCTTTGTATTTGAATCAAACTTCACAAATTATTAAATCCTTTTATACCCATTATCTCATTTAGCCTTTGCAACAACTGGAAAATGGTTATTCTCATTTTATAATAGAAGAGAGTAAATCTAACACCTTCAACATCACAGGGTACCCTATTATATGGCTATTTTTCAAAAATTAAAAATGTGATCAATAGAAGGAACATAATTTAAAAATTTTTGTGAAAGCTTTTCATGTCTTAAAAATCAATTTTTTATAGTGTTATACAAATGTTAATTATCACATAAGAGCATATACATAAGGTTTACCTAAAAATTACATTCAAAATTATTTCATCAAAACAGTTTCACAATTCATGGGAGGTAGATCATTAAGGTGTTTGGGTAGTTTGGAACCTAAGAGCAAGTTGGTAATAATTTTATTTAACAGGACTGGTTAAGTCTATAGAGAAAACCTTTTTCTGCTAAAAGTTTGCCAAATTTTATTTTGGGGGAGACAAGACTAAACTAAAACTATAGTAAAAATGTACTGATTTCCACTTTAGGTACAATCCTACAAATTCAACTGCAGACTCTCTTCTTATTGAAGTACCAGATTAGAAATCTTCCCCCAAAGTTAAGTGGAATGAGTAACATTTTAATTACCTCCAGGCAATCAAGAGGTATCACATATAAAAACATGCTAAGACTCCCCCAAAATCTGTCAACATGAACGATTCTATTAAGAATATGATATGTAATCATCATATATAATTGTAGCAGAAGAGATAAATGCCCTGTTCTATGCATATATGAAGGCTATACAAACATAAATAATAATGCATACTAACATCTATTTTCTCTGGATATCAGCCCAACATTTCTATTATGCAACTTCCTACATCTCCAAGTCAAACTTTGCCAAAAGACTAAAATCAATGTTTGCTATCCAAAAGACATTTTCTGATAACACATTATATATCATTAAGTCAGATGACTTCTACTTATAAGGTTAAAAAATGGAAAATCTGACATTCTAACCTACCTGTACAAGAAAGGAAGGAAAATTTTGCAAATTAAAAAAAAAAATACACACGCACACACGCGCATCTCCCCCCTAAACGATTCCTCATCTCTGCTAGGGACTATGGCTTTTGCTTATATATCAAAACAGACAAAAATAATTTTGGTTCTAATTAATTCAACATATCCAAAAGGTTAAGATTCAACCATCTACCTTATACCATAAGAAAGCAACCCTTTTAAATAACACCACTGAAAACATAACTTCAATAAGGGCTGAAGGGTGTTCTTTTCTGCAGAAACAGAAACAAGCTAGACTGGGAAAAAAAAAAAAAGTAAAAAAGAAAAAAAAATGATGTTGACCAAAGTGGAAATAAATATAGTGTCAAAGATGTCAAATGACATTAAAAAAAAAAAAAAAGCAGCAGGTATCTCCCTCCAAAGGATGAGTTATAAATCTAACACTATTTTTTTAAAAATAGCTTTTAAAAAAAGATTATTGCATAATGTCAGTCTATTTTTCTGGTCCTTTCCAAGCTAAACTATTTTCTGACTGAATTGTTTCAAAAGCCTGTGCAATATAACAGAAGAAGCAAAAAGAAATCTCTCACTTGACCTTTTCTCTGTAACTTCATTCATTGATTCTATTGCATTAAATGCTGTCACATTTGTAGAACTGAAAAGAACAATGTCAGTAGCCTGGGTGTCAAGTCCTGAGAATAGAGAGCTGTCATTTGAAGCTGTCCAATTCTTTGCCCGTGATTAAAAAATGAATATTTCAGATCAATGGGTGACAATCCCATTAGAGTGATAGCCCGTGATATCAATTACCACTTCAGTTTCAATTTGGCTAGCTGGCCACAGGGTACCATTTCTCAGCTTTACTTGTGATGGGCTGGCTCTGTGAAGCATGACACACTTAAATTGCTGCCCATTATCCAAGTGTCATTACTTGTACCGCCTCAGAATTCTCTGAATCACAAGCAGCTACTGAGGTCAAGCTTTGCAACCAGAGGAATTGAACAAGTTGGCAAATTCTTTATATAAAGGAAAAGTTATTTATCTGGCATCTGACTTAGAAAATCTAAAGTTTCCATTATCCTGACAGTATGTCAGTTTTGTGTAGGTATATTGATTTAATAATTTAAGAGGTTTTATCAAGGTGGCAGGGGGTTAAACGTTTACTTTGTTTGCATTATTCAGAATGTTTTGTTTTTTTGGCCTCTATCACACCGATAATGGATTCTATTTAATGCCTCCCCATACTCAAATGCGCATATAAAATTATTCCTATAATGAGAAATACATAAAGAGTTTAACTTTGGGTATCGTACTTTAAGTCAATTGAAAAAACAAAATATCCTAACTGCTATCTATTCCATAGGTATCCTAAATTTGATGAGAAATTCATATAGGAGATGAATTCAAAAATGCCTGTAATAAACATCTGGAATGACGAATCTGACTTTGCTCCCTCCATAACTATTTTGCTAGAAATGTTACGATTTCAGAACAGCTGGAATTTTTCTGAGTAAAACTGTAATATTTGAGATCATTCTTTAATTCTTAAGACTATTAATATATTTGGACTTAAAAATCTAAAAAGGAATTATCTCCCAAACTTCTCAAATTAAGGTGCTTTATCCCTAAGGAACCGAAGGGCCAGTGAAAGGGTACTGGTAACCATTTGACAAGCCTGCCATAAATTTCTAGAGCATCATTTTATTAAATGTTTGGAAGAAAAACTTTTTCAAGTTAATAAATTTAGATATATTGTGGGGGTGGAATACAAAATGGACAATTTTTAAACATTAAATTTAAACTGAAATATGATTACTTTGGGTAGTATCCATAACCCCAGATTGGAACTGAAAGATGTAGGATAATTTCATTCTCTTCTGCCTTTAGTAATATTTCACTTGGAATGTTGAGAAACACTATTTATGTCACAACATACTTTTAAAAATCTTACTAACTGCATTTTATAAATTGAAGCCCATTTAAATGCATTTGGGGACCTTGGTAGTTATGAAAAGCATTCACAGCTAGATGCCTGTTTCTCCTCACTAAACCTATGTGGAGGGTTTCTCTTTGCTAAACGTATGTATAAATTCTGATTTCTTCAAAATAAGGTAAAGAAATATGTTTTTAAAACTCAATTACCTGTAACTCAATAGCAGTTTAACAAGAAAAAGAAGCTCTCATATACTTTATTGAGCTCAATTTTCTCTATTAAACAGAAAAACTTATCAACAATGGGAATGATTGAATCCTACCGAGGAGTTAAACATACCAAACTTTATCCTGTAATATCCTTATTATAAAATTTTATACTTCCAACTTCCAGCACATAGAGCCATATTAATAGAAAATAAATATTTAATTTAAAAACAAAATAATTTAAAAACACATAAATTTCATCTATTGTTCAGGGTATTTTTTTAAAAGTTTTTGTTAAGAAAAATAACAGACAGAAATGTAGAGAAAATAATATAATCAGCCCCCATATACCCAGTTCATAACAAATAATTAGCAACTCATAGTACTCTTTTAACTTACTTTTAATCCATATTTTGAATCAACAACAGTTATGATACCTACAAAAGATAAATCTTTTAATCAACTTATACTTCAGAATAAAAATTAATGAATTTATTTCAGTTCACAAATATTACTCAATAAAATATTGATTTTTTTCTTTTGCCGAGGTTGCAATTTAATTCAATTTCATTAATAAGTAGATGCCTTTTCAAATATGTGCTAGGTACTCCGCACATATTTGAAAAGGCATCTACTTATTAATGAAATTGAATTAAATTGCATAAGGTACTAGAGAGGATACAAAATAACTGATTTTTAAAAATTAAATAAATAAGAAAAGATTTCTCTGGCCTTTAAAAAGCTTACAGTTCAAAATTTTGTGAGACAAATTTCATAATATAAAATAGAATGTACTAAATTACAAACAACAGGTTATTTCTAATTTATGTTCACATAATCGAAGTTGAGACTTTTCTTAACATATAAATTATTGCTTAACAAATCTGAGATGTCTTAGGATATCTTATTGCAAATATCTCTCACCAAAGCTAAGTCACACAAATGTTTTATAAAACATGTACCTAAATTTCCAAATAATTAATTAGTTTGACAATCTCTGGATTTATATGCTAAACCAGTTTTTCAAAGGATAACAGCAGAATGAGTTTGATGATGCTGAAAGAATTCGATCAGGTAAATGCCACATATATTAGGGCCAAATGACTGATTCTTAAATTATTGCACCCCTTAGTCTATGAAAGACCTGGTTTTAAAAAAGGTAAAGGGCTTAGGGAAAAGAGAGGGGGACACAACAGAGGTGGGCGGAGGGAGGACTGATAACACACCACAGTACATAAATCAAACAATAGAGAACAGGAATTCTACACAACATTTTAAAATAAAAATCTGAGTGTAAGCACTAAATTCAGAGTTGAGATTAAGATTTGACATCTAGTTCTACCATTGTCTTTAGACAATGCTTTGGAATCTGTATGAACAAAGACTTACTTCATCACCAAATTAAACAAGTTTAAAAAGAGTAACAACACGAGCAATTAAAATTAAAATGTGAACAAAAATGAATTTAATCATAATAACAGTTTACTTGAAAATTCTTTAACTTACCATCAAGATAAATATCAACACCTAATTCAGCATCAACCCAAAACATAGATGCTACAGCACCTGAAAATATATAATATTGATCAAATAAAAATACTTTTTCAAACGGAGAAACATGATTCTATTCATGTTTTAATTTGCTCTAACAGAATTAGCAAGTAAACACATATACAAATTTATGAGTTTCCAATCTTCTTACAGGAATTACAGTGATAGAACCTTTCACTATTTACATCCATTTCTTCTCCTTTCCCTTTCTTAAAAACAAAACAAAACAAAACCCACTCATATCAAATAAAAACCCCAAACGAAGCTTCTAACAATGCCATAATTTACCAACAAATATTATCAAATAATTTGGGCAATATGGCTGTGTGCACATAGCACTTATTTTTATTTTCTCTCTCATGAATATAGTAATCATACGGTTTACAAATAATGAATTCTCTTCTCTAAAGAAAGCAAAACAAAATAGATGATTCCAAAATCACTTGTCTAAAAACTAAAAAAAAAAATTTACTTGTAAAAAAACAAAATGTAAAATTATACACCGTATGGCATTACTAATAAATCCTTACACTATTTAATATTGATATAAAATCTGGGTTTGATGAAAAATAATTTCTAAACAAGAAATTAAAACTTATTTTTGACAAATACTGGTTCAGTACCAAACCACACACCCTGATTAGTATGCCATAACGTAAGAAAAAGAAAACTGACAGCAAAGAAAGAATTTGATTTTTCAAAGCATCACAAGTCCAGTTAGTGACAGGGCTGTCTAAAAGAATGAGTATTGGGGAAAAACAAGGATAACTGAACTCATTCCAATGTCTAAAACTGTCCACCTACCCTGTCGAGATGTGGACCCCAAAGCATCACTCTGTGTCAACAATGAAATACCTGTCAGCTATTTACAGATTACTCATGCAAGATATAGCAAGGGCCACAAGATCTAATGGTTTCCTGATACCTATTGATTTTTTCCCAAAAACTTAATAGTTTTCCAATTTGACTGAAATAGGATTTGTGAGTAACAGGGGCTGAATCAATGTCTGTCCTTTTCACAGAAATTACTTTACCATGACAATTATTTAGCTTAGAAGTGGAGAGTGTCAGTCTCCTAAATGGGAAACAACTGAATTTTCAATAAGAATTTTCTTCACTTACTTGGCCAATAGCATGATTTTAATTAATGAGGGAGAAAAAAGTAAATAAACTGTATCATTACTACAAACAATGTCATTAAAAAGTATTAATTTTTTCACTCAATAAAATTCCTAATACTGTACATAAATCATTTTATTTTTGTAATTCATTGATTTCTATTCAGATAGCTTGTAAGTCCTTTACAATGAACATTTGCCTAGTATTAAGTTGAACTGCAACAGTGTATTAGAGCTTTTATTCTAAATTGGATGTGTATCTTTGGTATAATACTACCAGGCCACACAAAAAATAACTATTTAACATTTGGATGCAGGTGTTTAGCAGGAGGAGTAGAGATGAGAGAATGAAGTTAATCAGTCATTCTCAACACAGGGTGATTTTTCTCCCCTGGGGAACATTTGGCAATGTCTGGAGATATTTTTGGTTGTCTCAACTAGGGAATGCTAACAGCATGCAGAGGCCAGGGATGCTATGAAACATCTGAAAATGCACTAGATAGCCCCCACGACATAGTATTACCCAAGACAAAATGTCATTTGTGCAAAGGTTAAGAAATCCTGATTTAGGTTGCAGAATCTCCATTTTCAAAATCTAATAAAACAAAACAAAAATAAACAAAATAAAAATTTTAAAAGCCAAATTTTATCAGCAGCTACCAAATATACAACCTCCTGCCATAAATTTTGAAGAGTCATAGTCAAAATAAGAAACAGAAAGTTCCATGTGACTTATGATAGCTCTTTAAATCTATCCCCTTCCCTAAGAAGAAGTTATAGGAAAATAGTTCACAAAACCCTAACGCTTACCAGAAATAGCTTTCAAAATGAAAGCTATTCCTCCCTAGAAGTGAGGGAAGAATAAGCAATAATAAAAAAAAAGGTCAACAAGAAAACTTCAAGTATAAAAGTTCCTAACCACCTCCATATTTGCAGTGGGGAAAGTCACTTTCTAGGGCTCAGAGCAAAATGAAGACAGAGGTCTAAAGTTCAAGATGTCTTCTCACAAGGTATAGGATGTATATTCATGAGTAGCTGGAACAAATCTCGGAGTGGGGAGCACTTGGTATTTTAAGAGAGCAGAGCCTAAAAGTCACATTGTCCATTTGACACTCAGTCACTCCTTTTCCCTTTGCTTCCCTCCCTGCTCCCAGCAATATACAGTTTTCAAATGGGCTCAGGAGAAAAATGAGTTTAGGTAATATGGGTCAGGTATTAAAAAAGAATTCAGCAACACCATATCTAAGCCAATACAAGTTCTCTGAGGAGAGAACAATGGATTAAGAAGCTATATAAAGAAATAGTGACTGAAAACTTCCCTAACCTGGCAAAGGAAATAGACATACAAGTCCAGGAAGCATAGGAAGTCCTAAAAAAGATGAACCCAAAGAGGCCCACACCAAGACACATCATAGTTAAAATGTCAAAGGTTAAAGACAGAGAATCTTAAAAGCAGTAAGAGAAAGGCAGTCAGTTGCCTAAAAGGGAGCTCTCATAAGATTGTCAGCTGACTTCTCAGCAGAAACTTTGCAAGCCAGAAGGGATTGGCAGGAAATATTCAAAATGATGAAAGTCCAGGACCTACAACCAAGATTAATTATACTACCCAATAAGCCTATCATTTAACATTGAAGGAGAGATAAAGAACTTCCCAGACAAGAAAAAGCTAAGAGTTCATTACCGCCAAGCCAGTAATTTCAAGAAATGTTAAAGGGACTTCTTATAAGAAAAAGAAGGGCAGGGGAAGGGAGAGAAGAACACAAATATGAATAATAAATGGCAATAACTATGTACCTATCAATAATCACTTTAAATGTAAATGGATTAAATGCTCCAATCAAAAGACATAGGGTAGCTGAATGGATAATAAGAACACAAGACCTATACATAGACTGTTTTCAACAGACCCACTTCAGATCGAAAGACACATACAGACTGAAAGTAAAGGAATGGAAAGAGATATTTCATGCAAATGAAAACAAACAAACAAACAAAAAAGCTGGGGTAGCAATGCTTATGTCACAAAGGCTAAAATAAGAGACAAAGAAGGACATTTCATAATGATAAAGTTCTTCCACAGCAAAGGAAGCTATCAACAAAAAAAAGACAAACTACTGCGTGGGAGAAGATATTCACCAATGATGCATCCAGTAACAAGTTAATAGCCAAAATTTATAAAGAACTCATGCAAATTAACAACAAAAAACTAACAGTCTGATTAAAAATGGGCAGATAATCTGATAGATATTTCTCCAAATAGGACATACAGATGGCCAATAGACATGAAAAGTGCTCAAGGTCACTAATCATCAGAGAAATGCAAATTAAAACCACAATGAGATATCACTTCACATCATCAATAAATGAACAATTAAACGTTGGTGAGGATGTGGAGAAAAGGGAACACCCATGTACTGTTGGTGGGTTTGCAAATTGATGTAGCCACTATGGAAAACAGTATGGAAGTTCCACAAAAAAAAAAATTAAAAATAGAACTAACTTATGACCCAGCAATTCCACTTTTGGGTATTTATCTAAAGAAATCCAAAACACTAATTCAAAAAGATACACGCACCCCTATGTTCACCGCAGTATTATTTACAATTGCCAAGATATGAAAGCAACCTAAGTGCCCATCAATAGACTGGATAGAGAAGATGTGGTTCCATACATACAATGGAATATTACTCTTCCATAAAAAAAAAGAAACTTACCATTTATGACAACATGGATGAACCTAGGAGGTATTATGCAATAAGCCAGACATAGAAAGAAAAATACCATATGACCTCATTTATATGTGGAACTAAAGAACAAAATAAACAAATGAACAAATCAGAAACTGACTGACAAATACAGAGAACAAAATGATGATTCCCAGATGGGAGGGGTTTTAGGGGAGGTGGGTGAAAAAGGTAAAGAGATGAAGTTACAAAATAGTCAAGGGGATGTGAAGTACAGCAAAGGGAATAGTCAATAATATTGTAATAACTATGTATAGTGCCAGATGGGTACTAGACTAACTGGGGGATCACTTTGTAAATTATATAAATGTCTAACCACTATGCTGCACACCTGAAACTAATATATAATAATATTGATTGCCAACTTTAATTGAAAAATAAAAATTAAACAAAAGTTCTCTGAGTCTCCTACTCCTACATCAAACACAAACATGCTGAAAAAAAAAAAACTATGTCCAAATGTCCAAAGACATTTTCAAGGGTGTCTTCATAATTAACAACTTAAAAATACAATCTTAATTAAAAACAATCTCTAAAGCAAGATGAAGCAGAGTAATATGAAAAGTGATTTGTAGTGCTAAAGAAATAAACTTAGGGCCAATATACCATTACTGAACCAATTAATTCATTTAAAACATCAAGGAACAAAAAAAAAAAAATCAAGGAATAGAACAGATGTTGGTGAAAACAGAATTGCTAACAAAAAGGAAGGTTTGAAATAATTACAGTAAATGCAGAGGCAAAAGACAAATTAAAACAATGAAAAAGTAATAGATATGGAGAACAAAAGAAAATAGAATAGATGGAAAATTAGTGTCATAGAGGACCCTATAATTTGACAGAAAAACTCTTCATAGGAAAATGTCCCTAAACGAAGAACTAAATCTACAGATTAAAGAGTATATTGTAATCCAGGAAAAAATGATTATGAATGACACCGAGATGTATCCTGGTTATATTTCTTAAATAATTCAAGCATTTTAGATGAAAAAGCAAGTCACTTTCAAGGAAATCAGACATTTCTACAATATAATAATGACCCAATATAATAAAACAATAATAAAATAATGACTACAAAGTTCTAACGAAAGTGTTTCCTAAGGATATTACCTCCAGTCAAGTTGTTTTCAAGAATGAAAATAGGCACCCATTCTCAAACAATAAAGGAAACAGCAGCACTGAAACTCAAAATATACAAAAGACAAGTATTCTCAAGCAATGAAGTATCCAAAATACAGGGAATACAGCACCTCTATCTTGAAAAGATTACCTGACCATGACATTCAGTCATTCAAGAGAGTGATCAACTAAGGAATCAGAGAAGCCATAACACTGGTAATGAGAACTAAAACCGTTTAAATACAGAACTAAACAAAGTAGGACAAAATGTAAATGTTAGAAACCTTGACAACATAGCACAGAATGCCATTAACCAAAACCAGGAGATGGGAGAAAATTGAAGTGTTAATTCTCTCATCATTTATGCCAGAGAGTCAATGAATAATACTCTGAAAATAGAAATGTGTAGTTTTAAAAACAACTTGTCCAATTTATTTATGCTTTTTATCTTTCTTAACTCATATCTCTTGCAATGAAGTATTTATCCAATATTTAGCAATTCCTTCACTTCTTTTAAGTTCTTTTAAATTCAAATAAAACTAGATTAATAATTATTCAGAATAGCACAAAGAATATGATCCTAGTTTTATACAATTATTGCTGTATATTTATACAGTTTTCAGAAGTGCTTAGAGGGCGTCCCAGACCTAGGCATATATAAGAATTACCTGGAGGGCTTATGGAAACAGCTTGCTGGGCCCTACCCTTAGAAATACTGATTCAGTAGATCTGGGATTGGGCTCAAGAATCTTCATTTTTCACAAGCTCACGACTGAGGCAAATGCTGTCATTCAATATACCACACAAGTAACAATGGCACACTGAAATCCCTGGAATGAAATTTACCTACTTGTATTTCAATGGTACTGAGATAGAGGGTTTGTTTTTTTTTTAACTTTCTTCTTCATACTTAGGTATTACAGTTTCAATTTTTGTATAATGAATGTTTCATTTTTACTCAAACAATAAAAATCATTAAAGAAAGTTAGAAACAAAAAACATTAACCCATTTACATCTATGATTTGTATAAAAGCTTTCTCTGAGATCTTTAACTTCTCTTTTTATCTCTGAAAAACTAAACCATGTTTTATTAAACTCACTTACTCTCAGAGTTACAAGAGTGTTTCTCTACAAAGTGGTTAGAGTGAAAGAAACTGATATTTGCTATTTCAAAAAAGCATATATTTTCCCATTTTGCCAGATTTAAATTAATATTTAACAGCAATATAGTAGTTCAAGTCTTATCATCAGTCTGACCTATTGGAAATGTATGAAAAATCCATGCCTACTATAAGGACCAAAATAGTACAACTTAGTTCAATTAGTATTTGAAAACATGAAGACAATGTTGTTATGTGATACTTCGAAGTATAATAACTACTGATGACATCTGAACCTTCAGTATAATACAATATTTCTTTTAAACAATTATGACCCTTTTAACAAATTATTCCCAAATATTACTTTATAGTTTCATGGCCTAATGCCATAGACCCAGATAAAAAAGAAAAGGTATGAGTAAGACATACCTTTTACAAAACAAACACTAAATGTTCTGCAAACTAGGAATGAAAATGCTAGCTAAAAGTCATTTGGGTAAGAAGGGTAAGAAGCCCATTGTTAGTAACACGTCAACTTTGTGTTTCAACAGGGAAACTTAGATGTAATTCCATTCAGAGGTAAAAATTTCATTCAATACCAGGAAAAATGCCCAGTAGGCTTGATTTAACTCTATCCTATGACAATATTTACAAAAACATAAAAATTATTTTCAGTTTAGTAGTAGAAAAACAAAATGCTTATAGTTAAAGAGAATAAATAGTGCTGGGATTAGAATACAAATGCCCTTAAATATCTTTAAATAACAATCTAAGAAAACTGGATTAGAAAGCAATCAGAAATAAGGTCTCTATAGAATACAATCAACCAAATATATACCTAGAAGTAGAATGTCTTATTTTTTCCTCAATTTCCATATTTTTAACAACTTTTGTTACTACCAATAGCCTTACATCACTAAAATTTCAAATTCTATTATCACGTTAAAAATACCAACTACTTTGATCATGACTCATCTGCCAAAGAAACATAACGACCAATATCTTTCCTATTTTAAATAAAAAAAAAAAATTTTTATCTAAAAATTTAATACTCATTTTAGATATTCCTTTAGCACATTGATTCAAAAATATTTAAGAACTATATTCTGGTTATTAATAACATCATTTCTTACCAGGATCTGCTAACCCAGTGGTCTCTAACAGTATGTAATCAAATTTCCCCTTCTTCTGCATCAAATTCTCAATAGCTCTAAGGCCATTGTCCCTGGAGAATACCAAAACATAATATACAGTTGATTGCCTGAAAATTTTAAAGCGGTCATTATAATCATTTAAAGATATAGTCAGCAACCTGAGATAAAAATATCTTTAGGCATCTGAAAATTTAACTCACTCTCAAACTTCTAACAAAATTTCCATCCAATATTCACAAATGAGGGAAAAAAATTGATGCATATACACTGATAGGTAAAAAGAACTCAGATACATGATGAGTTAATACATCAATTTTATTAAAATTAGAAGCAGAGGAAATTTTAGTATATCTGACTAAAGTCAGAATCTGTTATTTTTATAGCTTTATGAAAGAAAAAAATCAACATCCAAATGATAAAATTTATGAATTATAGTAGTTTAATATAACAACTAAAGGGTTACTATCATTAAATACCTTTTAATTCTGTTCTGAATTAGAGTACCAGGCTTTAATTTCTATTTCTTCTTATAATATCGAAAGTGCGAGAAAATAATTAATGAATTGCATTTTGGTTGTTCAAGAAAATGTTATGATTTTAGCTGTTAATACATTTCAAAATCAAACAACTAAGATGGTAAATAATGTAGAAGAAATTTAATTTATTAGAACATACAAAATCCACAGTACAGGTGTTAATTTTCCTAACTCACTAAACAAATATTTGAGAGACTACTATATGTCAGATTCTTTTCTAAGATCTGTGGTATATTAGTGAATAAAACAGACACTATCCTTGGAAACAATATAACTTATGGAATATAATGTGAAGATTTTCTCTTTTTTAATGTTCATTTATTTTTGTTTTTAGAGGTTGAATACTTAGAACTAAGACCAATGACTTACTAAACTCAGAATCGTTCTTCACACATAAGACTTTCATGCACCATGGAGATTTAATAAACCTTGACATCAAAAACAATAAAAAACTCAAAAAAAAAAAAAAAAAGCCAAAGCATTAGAACACATAAAAAAATACAGCAAGAAACACATCCTAATAAGTCTACTTTCTACTCGAAAATACAACAAAATACTACACTGTTAAATTACACAAGAAAATAGAAGCTGGAAATATAATCAGTATACATTTATAGTAAACCAACAAGTGCACAGCAAACACATTCCTCACTTTACTGAACAGCAGAGGCAACCGTTTCTAAGTTCCAGCCATTCTTCGTAGAGCTCTCCACCTTGGCTCACAGCTAAGGATTTCTCCACAGCACTTCCTGGAATAAGTAACATTTAGATTATGAACATTTAGAACATTCAGATTATGTTCACTAGCCAACCAAAAAAAGTATAAGGGTACTCAATAATAAAGATTTCAAAGCAGAAAATACATTTTATAATTTTTATTCTTTCATTCTATTCATGCAGCCTCAATATTTTAAACTATAGTACTCTAGATTATTTTAGCTTTTCTTTCTTTTAGAGGATTTAAGCCCCTAAAAATCCAAAATTAATGAATCACACCTAATTCCTCTTTAGGTCTCTTCCTTGTCCACTGCCTAATTTCCTAATAACGTAGCTATTCCAAAGGCATTCTTTCTTGTCCATGGCCAACTTTCTAGATAGACTAGTGTTTTATATATTACTTTTTATATGCCCTTTGACCTCTTAAGGGCCTTATCTCTATTTTCTTTTCATTCTTCCGCTAAATTATTTTCGTTTCTTTTAGACAGACTACTCACTTTTCCCACTAATAGTAAAAATCTTAGTTCATTTGAGGAAGTTTGCTTGGCCAATGTGCTCATTTTAAAAAAATGAAATTTTAGTCAAATACACGTTTCCTAGCAATGCTCACTTCAGAAAAAAATAAAGTATATCTGATAATCTGCTTTGCTTGTTATCATATAAGAATGATTTAAAATATCTTATTTTCTCTCCAATAAATATATCAAAGCCAAGGAAGATTTCTAAATGTCCAGTAAAGCAAATGGGGGGGAAAAAAAAGAGTAATTTTTCACTTACATATTTTTTGTTTATATTTCAGTTAGGCAATGACAAAGAACTCTGAAAGGGGCTGCTACAGAATCCAGGGTGTAGAAAACATTAATAAAATGTGAAGGACAGTACTGTGAATGCTATAAAGGACAAAACTGTGAAAATGATCCAGAAAGAATGAAGAAAAATAGTAAGAAATAATAAATGTAATCAGTGTCCAAAAGATCAGTTAATAAGAAGCTAGAATATAAGATTGTGAGTAAAAAAAATTAGGATTTTTATTGTAACTAACAGGACTTTTTCTTTAGTTTACTGAAACCAAAAATCACATTTAACTAATAGGCCTCTACCATCCTGTTCATAATTTACAACTGAAAATACCTTAAGAAATATTCTAACAGAAGTTACATTTTTTGGCTAAAAGTGAGTTTTTATTAAAATTTGCACATGAGAAGAAAAACTTATAAAAAGTAATCAAAGAACTGTGCCTAACACTATTGTATAGACTTTTTTCAACTACAGTTCAATATTAAAGATAAAAAATTGGAATGTTAAATGTATTTTCACAGGTAATTGAAGTTTGAGGATGGAAACTATACCTTCAACTTATTTTTAAAATCTTCAGTTTAAATGCTTTGCAGATAAGAAACATTCAAGAAAGTAAACTTATAATAATTGAAGCATTTTCAAATTTTTTAAAAATTGCCGTCAAACAATATAGTTATTACAAAAGCACCGTTCTAGTTTCTGAAAGAACTTTCTTTCATATCAAATATCATAGATTTTTACTTCTGGAATTATTTATTTCATGTAAAAATTTAACTTAATTCCATTACTATGAATTCCAAAGTTATACAAAATAAAATTTTATAGAGACTATCTAATTTCAGTATTCAAAATCTGTACAAAGTAAAGCTTAACAGAAATTAATCTAATTTTCTAAAACTATCCACATTAATGTACTCACATTAAAATGCCTTGCATTTACAGTTTTGAATATGAAATATCAAGTCATGAGTAAAATAAACTGTCTTATAAATCTTTGAGCATGGCATTTATTGAACTCTACTCACCTTCCCCAAATTCATTTAAAATAACTGCTACTCTTTTACTATGTTGCTCTGTCAAAATATAGTTCAGAAGTGTTGTCTTCCCAGCACCTATTAAATATATTTGTTTTAAATAACAAAGTTCAAAGATTAATTTTAAAGACACAAAAAAGATATAAAGAGTCACAATGTTTTTAAAAATTTACATGCTACTTTTCAAATATTATTTAACTAAGATTATTCTAGAGGAAGATTAAAGTTCTTTATGAAAAGTACTAAAAATGTGTTGTTGACATAACATTTTATATTTACAAATACTCCTACAATTTAGATCACACAGCTTTCTTCGACCTCATGACAAAAATAACATGCCTTCTATATAATTTAACACAATATAAGGGCATCTAAATTTTCTAATAAGAGATTATTGAAGTAATGGCTTCCAAAGAATAAAATACTCATGTAGTTCATAACATATAAAATATTTAAATCCCTTTGCATGATGACAATATTTCTAAACCAAGAATATATTGTTTAATTCCTTAAAATTTACATATAGAAAGATCTTTTATTTTAACGCTCATCATTAACCAGGCACAAATTCGAACTGACTATATGGCTACTTTTAATATGCTTAAAGCAATCTATAAAATTGATTTTATATACATGTATCATACACACACACACACACACACACACACACACACAAAATAGAGAATGGATGTAGGAAATGATAACAAAAGACAGAATATTCAGTATTTGGAAAGAAACATAAAGCTACACTAACTTTATCCAGTAGGTGGCATATAAAACCTAATATGTTCAGCTGAAGTAGCAGATGATCTGTCTTATGAACCAAAGACAACAAAGTTCACAGAGTAAAACAACAACCTTAACTTGATAGTAGTGTAGTTCAATTGTATAAATATATCAGTGGACATTTGGGTTGTTTCTGGTGTTTTGCTAATACAAACAGTGCTGCTAAAAACTATTACATGTAAGCTTACACATATCTTCTGAAGTATATTTATAAGATTTCTAGGGTATAACCAAGAGGGATTTACTGAGTATTAGAGTATTAATATCTTCAACATTTTTAGGTCATATTCCTTCAAAAATTGTTGAGAAGATGAAAGGCTTGTGTTTAGAATGCTTTGGGATGCTCAATATCACTAAAGTGTAAAGTATAGAATGGAAGGGACAGACCTTCAGGAGGCAGGGCAATGAGGAAATTCTTAAAATCAGTCCAAGTGTGAGACAGAGGACCTGAACGTGAGTGCTTTACCAGGTAGTGTCAGTTAAAAAGATGTGGATGTAAGAGACCTTCTGATAAAATTACTAGGGCTTAATAATTAACCAAATTATGAAGCAAAAGACTTTAAGACATAGTTCATTCAAAATCTACTACAGACCAGATTTTATGCTGGGCCTTGGTGAAAAGTGCACAAGACAGAGATAAATTGTCTCGACCTTCATGAAGCTTGGAAACATTAAGGAGTGGGATACAGAGTAAAATTCAGATCAATAAAGAGACAATTATGTCACAGGATGACACGTTTAATAGATGTACAGATGTTACAGAGCACCTGAGAGAGACATCTAGCCAAAGGAGTAAGAGTAAGAAGAAAAGTATACCAGGGGCTAAAATACTTGGCACCTTTTAGAAGTAAAAGTAGTTCAATGTGGATGGGCCACAGTTTCACAGGCTGGAGAGGTTGTCAGGAGCCAGGTCATACAGAACTTGGTAATTCATGTTAGGAATTTGAACTTTAACCCAAATGAAAACCACTGAAGGGTATGACACAATAAGATTAACATTTATAAAGATCATTAAGGCTAAAATACAGAAAATATTTTAAAGCATGACTCAAGACTAGTTAAGAAGCTTTTAGAGCAGCAGCCCCAACCTTTTTGGCACCAGGGACCGGTGCTCCTATGAGAATCTAATGCCTGATGATCTGAGGTGGAGCTGAGGCAGTGATGCTAGCACTAGGGAGCAGCTGTAAATACAAATGAAACTTCACTTGCTTGTCTGCCACTCATCTCCTGCTGTGTGGCCGAGTTCCTAAGAGGCCAAGAACCAGTAACTGCTCGTAGCCCAGGGGTTGGGGACCTCTGTTTTAGATCAGAAGCAGAAGGATTTGAGGGGATGGTAACATAAAGTTCTTGACATGTTAAGTTTGAAATGTGTGTGGGACATCAAAATAGAAACCATATGGATGTGAAGTTCAAAGGATGGAATGAGCCGGGGGGTAAAAATTAAAAAGAAGCCAGAGAAGTAGATGGAACCATCAGAAGAAAAGTGTGATGGAACCTGACGGAACGTTTCAAGAAAGAGAAAATGGTCAAGAGTAAGCAGTGAAACTATTCCTAGATTCAGCAACAAGGTTGCTGGCATGAGTTTCTACTCCTAGGCTTCATACTATTATCTCCAATGTTCTACTGACCTACCAATGAGCAAAAGTGGAAGGCCAGAGTGGGACGTCTAAACTATATACTGTTTCAGACAAGAAATCTGCTCAACTTCTCAGAAGAATAGCATCTGAATAACAGTGGAAGGGGTGGCCCCATAGTGTAGTGGTTAGCACGTATGCTTTACACGCAGGTCCCGGGTTGGCACCCCAGGTGGAGCCGCGGACCATACCCTGGGAGGGGCGCACGGGTCCGAGCCTGTAGGAGGGGATGCCCAGCCTTCAGAGATCCAGTTCTTAAAAAGGGAGACGGCAACATCCCAACATCCGGCAACATCCCAACATCCGTAGGTCAAGGGTGGAAGTGGGGGTGGGAAGAATTACAAGGGAAAAAAAATGAACAACAGTGGAAAAATGCCAAAAGTAAATTCCTTTATAAAATTAGTCCTGAGTAAAAATGGGAATAAACTTACAGCTCACAAAATAAAAAAGGAAAATACCAGTGATTTAACTCTTATTTTCATGTAAAAGGCCTACAAGAGCACCATGTTTGTACTTGTCACTAGCATCATCTAGGAATGGTATTTTTTTCCCCCAAATTGTTTCATTTTTCTTAGATTTCTTAACTTTTCCCACACTTTTGATATGGTCATGTATTTATTCTAGCCCTTCTATTTAACTAACGTTTTAAAATAATAGTTCTCAAACTTTACCAATAAAGTACCTCTTGTGTAAGCACATTAACTGTCCTTAGGAAACTGTAGCATGTTTACAAACCTATGAAGGAATTCAAGTGTCCCTGTACACTACTGAACAACCTCACTTTGAGAAATACAGTCTTGGAGGGCAGAGATTTTATTCTCACTTTCTCCTACAGGGCTTTACAAACCGATCTGGAAAAAAAAAAAAAAATGTTCGCGATGGAGTACTTTCCACGAATGGCTGGAAGAGATTGGCTCGCAGCGAAGGGGAATCTACTGAGGATTGCCCCTCCATGCATCAGGCATTTTAAAGACAGACACCCTTTTAATGCTAACAGACTAACAAGGTAGGTACTTCCGGCCCCACTTGGCAGATGAAAAAACAAACTCAGACAGGTGACTGATATTATTTACATTTTCAAGTGAGGTAGATAAACTTCAGGTTAAGATAACTTGTTAAAGGTGACAGGGGGCGGGTCCGGACTCCAGACGGCAAAACCAGTACTAGTTTCAAAATATGAGATTAACTTTCAATCTCACTTGATAAACGTGAATCTAACGCAGAAGGGTCTGGGCATCTCTACCCCCAAGATAAGAAGCAACTCATATGGGGATCAAGGGACCCAGCCTCTAGCTCAGAGACCTTTGCTGTAGGTCAGAAAGCCCCATACCTAAGAAGAGGCACAGTCGCCCCCAAAATTCCAGGATATCAGCGTTCACAGCATTTTCTGACCGGGATGATTAGTTACCTAAATAACCAGTGATAATTGTGACTGGGATCTTAGCGCCGGGGCCAGACTTTTCCTCCTCCTCTCTTTGTTTCGTCTCAATGGGGACCAATTCAGGACAATCCTCTTCCGCCTGCTCCTCTTCTTCATTCACAGCGCCAACAGCCTGTAACATCCCGGCCAACAGCACAGCAAACCTCCCCCTCAGCTCCGGAGCTGGGTCCCAGGCGCCGGACAGTAGCTGAGCACGCCGAGCACGCCACGCCAGACGCGTGCGTTTACGTCATCACGCCGCGACGCGTGGCTCCTCCCGATCCCTCCCCGATTACCTGGGCTCTGTCGGAGGACCGCCTTGTCTTTTAGACACGCCCCCAAGGGACTGGACACGCCCTGGAGCGGGTTCTCTGAACCTGAGCGCGGCAGGGAGTTGTCAGGACTCATTGACCAGCCGTGCTTTGACTCTGTCACTCTAAGCGCCTGCAGCCTTAAATGGCTAATGGATGATGGTAGGTAGGGCTGAGGCCAGGAATGAGTAACCTGGTTTAAAGAGTTCCCAAAGGGCAAAGACTTTACCAACTTGTCATTTTTTAGTATCATTAATTTTTTTTTACATTCATGGGGGTGGGAAATAGGCTATAACAATAAAATATTAATTATAATTGTTCTACCTGAAGAAATAACCAGCGAAACCTTTCTCTTTTTTTGTAATTATATATTTTAAATGTATATCCAAATTTTTACAATGTACATGCATTACTTTCATTTATTGTTCTTTGTCATTTTTTGTTTGGACCTTAGGTAAGCTGAGTTAATTTATTATATTCTTTGGTTCATGATACTCTCTCATCATTAATCCATGATAATTCTCCTTTGTACTTATATGTTTATAATTAACTCTCTTACCTTCACCCTTAACCTAAAAACATTACCAATAAATTACATATATCTATGTGCCCCTTTTCTATTCCAACCATTTGCCTCTCCCCTAAGATAGTAATCACTATCATGAATTGATTATGGGTGATTGCTCATTCCCTCTTTTCTTTTTAGTTTTATCATGTATATATGTACTTAGACAATATGCTGTTTAGTTTTGCTTGTCTTTGAACTTCATAAAAAGAGTATCATACGAAATATGTACTCCTGGGGTTAGCTATACTTTTCAACTCCATCGTTGTATTATACTCTACAGTTCTATGTGACTATACAGCAATTTATCCATTTCAGGTCAATTGTTTTCAGATTTTGCTCTTATGAACAGCACTCAGTGATCCTTCAGCACTGTATTACTGCCTGAACAGAAACTGTTAGGGCCCTGACCACCTTCTCTTACATATTTTATTCTTCCGGCACATTCTTGCAGATTCCTTTACATGGCTCTGGCTGAATGCTATTAACATCACTTATCTCTCACCAAGAGAAACCTGTGCCCTACAAGGCCGACTCAGGCATAGTGACTGAGTATTGCTGTAATAGTATGTAGCTTCAATCAGGGCAAAAAGTTTTACCCAGTGGTCAAAAGTTAAAGCTCCCCAAATATTCATCACCTGATGAATGGATAAACAAAATGTGGTATATTCGTACAATAGAAAATTATCTCACAGTCAACAAATGCTGATAACCTGCTATAAGATGAATTAAACTTGAAAGCATTATGCTGAGTGAAAGGCTTTCACAAAATACCATATATTGCATGATTCCATAAAGCTGTCCAGAATAGGCAAATCTACAGAAACAGAAAATAAATTAGTTATTACCAGGGACGGAGGGACTGAGAGGAGTTACTGCTAATGGATACATTTTTGGGAGGATGAATATGTTCTAAAATTGATTGTGGTGATGGTAATATAACTCTGAATATACTAAAAACTACTGAAATGTACAGCTTAAATAAGTGTATTATATGGAATATGAATTTTATCCCAATAAAGCTGCTATTAAAAAAAAAGTTAAAGGCTCCTCTGTGCTTCAAAATGTGGTGGTGCCAGTGTGAATTGGCAGAGAAGCTCTGCTTTCAGTTCCTGCCTCCAGAAATCTTAAGTTCTGGCTTTCTGAACAGAGTTGAATAGAACCTATTTGTGCTAATTCCCTAATTGAGCCATCCTTAAGTACAAGTATGAAGATTACAGCTTAATAAAAATGTTCCTTTGGTCTGTTTCCATAATACTTTTCATCAAGATATCTATCTATGAATTTTGTGGAGTTCTGCCATTTTCTTTTCTAACTAGTAATTGGACAGAATTTAGCAAGTATGTGTCTGAAGAGGCAAAAGTTTTGACTTATTCAGATATATGGCTTGCAGTATCAACTCTCCCTACACATCTGAGTATGACTGTTTTTACTTCTATCTTAATACAGGACTTACCAATTTTATCCATTCTATTTTGAGTGAGACTTTGTTTTTGTTATTTAACCCAAAATTCCTTTTAAAATGACTTTTAAAATTCCCTAAGTATAATAGTATAGAATCTATTAGAGTTTCTAATATAACTTTAACATTTCCTCAAGTTTTGCAATTTTGTTTAGTCTCAGTCGCTTTATGGTAAAACATCAACAACAATAATAACGTGTGGATCCCTTACCATCTGATAGGCATTGTGTTAAGCACATGAAATGCATTATCTCATTTAACACTGCAAGATAAATATTTGTATGCCCATTTTATAGATAAGGAAACTAACTGAGGCTTAGAAAAGTTAAATATCCTGCTCGAGGTCATACAATTAGTAAATGGTAGCAATCCAAGTGATTGGTGATCAATCCAAGTCTGCTTGACATTAAATTTCATGCTCTTCTAAACCAGGGATCTATAAACTTTTTCTGTAAAGAGCCAGGTAATAAATATTGTAGACTTTACAAGTCAATAGAGAAAGTTGAGGTTATCATGTAGGTACTTATATAATAAGAGAGAAAACAAATTTCCAAAAACTTTGAAATTTGAACTTCAAATAATTTCATATGTCATGAAATATTTTAAAATGTTTTCAACCTATTGAAATGTAAAAAGATGTAAAAATTATTCTTAGATTGCAGGCTGTACAGAAAGAGTCAGTGATCCATAGTTTGCCAACTACTTATCTAAGCTGATGTGTACTATCTTGTAAGCTGAATTAAATGAAATTTTTGCAAAAATAGGTCATCTTTGCTATTTTAAACTTAGTTTGTAAATCATTCACCATTGCAACAACATTCTGACCTTAAAGGATTAGGTACAAGAGTTACGTTGGTACTAAGAATTCAGAGGAAGTTCTGAAACTCAGAAGCTTAAACAATTTCTCCAAGGGCACTGATACCCGCCCTTGGAGAGACCTGATTTAGGCAGCATTTGAGTTATTGCACTGTGGTAGGAGCCCTCCTATGTTGGAACAAAGCAGAACAGAGAAGCTCTCAAGCTGTCTGGGTTCCTGTAGCTCAGCTTCCTGGCAATAACCCTGCCATATATTCTTTAGTACAATTCCCTGCTCTTCCCTTTTGTCTCATTTTCTTCCTTTGAATAGTTATTATAATTACCACGAGAAAAAAATGTAGATTATAACTTTATCCAAATCAGAAGAGAGCTAATAATGCCAACTTGGTTTTGTTTGTTTCTCTTAATTTTGCAACTTTCTGCAAAAGGAAAGAACACGCTAGTGGCCAGCAATAGCTATTGATTTAGAGGAAAGGAAACTGAGAGTTTCAAAATTAACTCAGTTCAGCTTATCTAGCTATGATTGACAAATAAATAAACAAAAGATTTCTTAAATGCTTGACACATTGGTTTATTTGCTATTTTTATTACATGCACATGAACTTAGTGGGAGCATCTCTGAAAGGTCAGAGGCCAAGGACTTTTACTCTGGCAACCTCTTTAGTTAAGATAGAATATCAATATTCAAGTATCATAGAGTACTCTGTTAAGATATAAAATTGTAAGGACGTGAAATTATATTTTTTCCTCAGAATATTGCAGAAGGCTGGCAGGTGAAAGATGTAAATTTCAATGCTTTTAGAGAATGTGACTTTCATTTCAAAGGCTGTCAGTAATATTATTTGAATTCATTACCTTAGGCTGGTAAACCATACTAAGGCTTAGCTCACAGTCCAGTCCTTATAAATGTATACCACGAAATAAAATTTTTTAAAAAAGAAAACACTATTGAAAGCCTGAAGGCTGGCCAAATAGAGTGGTGCACTATTCTCTCTAAAATATACTATCAGGCAAGGAGTAGGTATTAAGCAAAGATAAAAAAAAAAAATGTGCAATGATTTATGTCATAATAGTTTAGGAGATAGACTAAATAATATCTTCTACTATCAATAGAAATTTAAAAGTGACATTTGTGGCTTTAAGTTTCACTTTCTAACTTTTATAGTTTTAGAGAAGTATATGCCAAAATCCACAGGCACCTGATCATGATTTCTTAATGTGAATTAAAGGCACATAAACAAAAATGAAATATTATTCTTTCTTCCAAATCTTCTCAAAGAGTGTTTAGTTGCACTTATCTAAAACATCCTGCTGTCAGCAAATCCAGATCTTCCTATTTTCAAGGTTAGGGTCTTTTGAGTCCCATAGTTCTGTCTCTCAATTAGGCACCACAATTTCACTTATGGAGAAAGATTTAAGAACTTTCTTCAGATTGGTTTACTTTCCTTCCTCTTTTTATTTTAATGTTGTTTCTACCCTTGAGTCTCAGGGTAGGCTGCTCCAAATACATGGCTGCAGATACATTCAAGCCACCTAGCCACTTCCGGATCTCCATCTTAACTACATAATCTTTCTTTAGTGAACTTCCTTAACATCAACATCCTTCAGTATACTTACTTCTACAAATTACCTTTACATTATTTTTGCAGTCATTCCAAACTTACATGTATAATAATTTGAAATTTCCTGCATTAGATGCTATATTATTCATCCACCCCTTTCACAATAGCTGAACTCCTGCTTTTTAGCTAGGTACACAGCCTCCAGAATAAAGACTATGCTAGACTTCCCAGTCCACCTTGCAGCTAGGTATGGCCATGTAGAGATGTTCTGGCTGATGGAATGTATGCAGAGTGTCATGCGGCAGTTTCCTGGAATCTACCTTCCTTCTTTCCTTCCCTCATCTTGCTGCCTGGGATGCAGGAATGATGATGGCTAGAGCACTTCTTGGTTACAGAGAATGGGAGCCAAAGCTAGAGGTGGGGGAGCAGGGACCTGGAAGCAGCCTGCAGGCTTAAGACTGCATGGAGAAGAGCTGCAAGAGAGGAAAATGGCCTTTTATGTTGTTTAAATTTCTGTTTATGCTAA